GACTTACCGTGCAAGCCCTTCAGGCATTCCCAGCTCTGAGCAGAAGTTTTCAAGGTAAAAACATAGAGAGAGAACATGGGAGAAGCTGGGACAAGGATCAGCAGCAACTCCAGGCGTTCAGGCAGATCTGACTTTGATTAATTAGAGAACTACTTTTCCATTTCCACATGTACTGCCTGATGGAAAGGTAGAGTGGACCGGGATACACAAACTTGGAGTTGACTCGGTTAGATATCAGCAGGTTTTGACATCCTCTGCAGAGCTTGCAGGATATCTGCTTAGGAAGACTAAATTGCTAGAGCACACTTTTAATTTATTCATTCCCCTAATGCAGAGGAATTGTCTGAACTGAAATAGATTTGATTTTCATCTGTGAATAACTTGGTTACTGTAAATGTTTATGTTACAGTATGGCATAATGAAGGATCAGTTATTTGAGTGTTTTGTATTTTATGTAAATGTATTAAGTAATTAGTCCATTTTGGGTAAATAAGTAACGTTAAATATCTTTCATTTCGATATGTTTTCAGGGTCTGGAGGGCTTTTCTAAAATATGTGTATGCTTTCTTACAATATCATTTGTACAATTTGACTGATTAGCTTTCTAGTAGATTTTTTTAGGATAATTTTTATGAAATGACTTAATGTGGATAAAAATGCTTGTTCCCATTCTTATGAAAAACTCATTTAAGGAAAAATTAAAATGTTTGGAATTCTTGATTTTAAAAACCCTTGCTCAAATAGGTTACAGTAATAGCATTTTAAAAAAGCAGTTTAGAAGACATGCATGCTTGTACATATGCACACATCTGTTTCTCCTAAAATCTGAACTCTCCCCTTGAAACTAGTTACAGTATTGTACCAGTTACACCTGCTACGGCCTGATCAAGTATGGTGCTGAATGACACCTGGAAAATGCTGACCACATACAACTCTTAGCCCTGGTCTATACCAGGGAGTTATTTTGAAATAACCCCCCCTTAGTTCAAAATAACAAGCAGAACGTCCACACTACCAAGCCCATTATTTTGAAATAATGGGTTGGTTATTTCAAAATCTGTACTCCCACTTTCCTCAGGGAATAATGCTTATTTCAAAATAGCTATTTTGAAATAGTGTTAGTGTGGACGCTCCACTGCTGCTATTTCAAAATAACTACTCCCTAGAGTAATCAAAATAATTACTCCCTAGTGCTTTCTGGACCTCTAAGTCAAGGTAGCACATCCACAGTATCCTAACTTGGACTAATTTCAAGGCTTCCCCATAGTGGGGACACACTATTTCGATTTTGTTATTTCAGGTGTTGTTATTTCAAATTTAGTTATTTCTAAGTAATTTCCTAGTGTAGACATGCCCACCGTGAACTCAGCCCCATGCTGGAGCAGGCAGTATGACAGCATCACTAGGGTTTTAGAGTTTTATTTACCACTTCACAGAACCATTACTTTTTAATAAGTTTTCTATGATTTAGTCTCATTAGAATAAGATGCTGTTAATGCACAGAATTTCCAATAACTTTAAAAAATGTTGTTATTCAGGAAATTTGTGTCATGACAATACTGTTTCCATGATTGACTTTTACTGTTGTTTTCCACTGAAGAGTCCAGAACGTATTAGGCACTGTGGTTACAGGCCACATTTCTGAGGTTGCTCTTGATTTAAGGGTATACTTCTGCATTCATATGGTTATTCAGGTATTATGTGGTTACCAGTCATTGCCACTGGACTCATAATGATGATACTGAGAGACTTACGAGTCTGCTCAATGATTCCTTCTGCCAGGGTTTTTATGTTAGAGGGAAGTTCTGCCTATCAACTGGTAAAGAAATTGACTGGACATGCAGCCCAAAGCAACTACGTCTTGTGACTTTCTTTGACTGTGCTCAACCATGGGAATGCTGAGCGGCGACTTATCACAACATCTGTCCTGTAAAAGTTGGTAAGGACTCCAAAACAGGAGTATTTAGTAATTGTAAGGAGCTGGTGAGAGTAATTTCTCCAGTTCTAGAGATGTAGATGTTCATCAAGATTGCTCACCTTGGCAGAGAGAGAGAGAGAGAGAGAAAGAGAAGGAGAAAGAGAAAGGGGGGGACAAGAGTTCAGCTCCAAAGTACAGGGAGCTCCACAGTTCAAAGAACTCCACAGTTCTCCTCTGAGTGTCTACCCTCCCAATCATTGGTAACATAAAAGGATGAAGCTAGAAGGTGCACATTTTTAACAGTGATTTACCATTGCAACAACTTATTAAGGGTTATGATAGATTTTCCATTGCAGGAAATTTTAAAATAAAGATAGGATTTTTTTTTTAAAGATACACTCTGGCTCAAACAGGAATTAGTTCAGGGAAGTTCTTTGACCTGGGTTGCACAGCACGTCAAACTAGGTGATCACAGTGGTTCCTTCTGGCATTATACCCTATGAATTAGGATGACTATTTCCTTGATAAGAGTCCCTATCCCATGACTTTATGTCATGATCCGTGATATTTCAGGGCTTGAAGGGATCAAAAGGCCACCCATGTTTACAGGTGGCTTTGTCTCAAAGGGCCAAATTCAGAAGAGGTATATAAGGTGACTTCTTATGTAAGGTAGTCTTGCTTAAATGTAGCTGGATTGCCTTAGACATACTTACAAGGGTAAGTTAAATGATGAACAGATAAAACAATATGTATGTTAAAATAAGCAGTGTGCCACCTTTATCTTGCACATTAATACAACCCTTTTAATTGTTTTTCTTCAGCCTATGGCAGTGGTACCTCAATATAGACTCTTACATTTGCTGGATTCAGTGAATTACATTTAGTAGTGATGTGTAAGTGAAGAGGACAAAAGAAAAATTACATATTGGTAAGTGGGAATATATGAACAAGCATAAGATAGCCCAGAGGGAGCCTAGTGTGACATACACATTGTGAAGGCTGGAAAAGGTATAAATTATACTGACATAGTCTCCTAGACTTATTTAGACTCATCTCTGAATTTGCCCTGTGGACTTCAAGTAACATAAAATAAATACATGAGTTAGTTATAGTGTATATTTCTCTTTTCAGAATGTATTTCAATAAACATTGAGGATCCAGTCCATCCCAGAGTATCCACAACGTTCCAGACCAGCATACGTGCCAGATATTTGTATCTCAGTAGACTGCTCTATTCAGGAACAATTTGAATCCATTAAAGAATCAGAAACCAAACCAAATCACACCTCAGTGTAAAAAATAGTATTGGCTGAGGGGCTATTCTGCTTGATGTCCGTAAGAAAATGAGTGCTAGTTGTAATCCAGAGATGAGCAAAGATTGGGGATGTCTTGCCCAGGAAGATGACTGAACCTGCCCATACTGAGAAAAATGTTCAGAAGAGTTACACCTGTAGATATTAGCTAAAGTAGACTGAAGCTAGAGAGGTTTCTCTCACCTCACTAACCTATCTGATAGTTCTACCACCCAGGAATAAAGAGTGTTTTTCCAAGGTGGAGAGGGGAGATGTCTTACTCCTTTTTAACATAGCAGTTTTCTTTCAGTTAAAACCCCATCAACACATTAATTGACCTGTGAAACCCATAACACGGTGTGGGGGGAACTAGTGGAAACAAAAGAAGATTGACAGGGTTTATTTCCTTCCTCATCATGATTGCCATCACTAACTACTAGAGATATGAAAGCTATTTGGGTAGCTCAGATTTAAAGGTCTGTGCTATATGGTAAAATCTCCACAAACAAGAAGAGAACAAGACTGGAAACATATTTTAGAGCCGTTTAGTATACAAGTAGCTCATCAGATAATTCTGCTCATTATTTCTAGGTATTTGTTTTCATGTTCCTTTGAATGTTTCATTTAAGAGAGTGTACTTGTGTTGATGCCTGTAGGGAGGAGCATATGAATATGCAAATAATAATAACGTATATGATGAGATGTTGCTGTTTGAATATCAATAAGCTAGATATTTTAATATACCTTGTCATAGTGTAAAACCAGCTGATCACATTTCACTGAGTAGTTCTCTAAAAGCAGTTTTGTGATTTACTGAGGGTCAAATTTACACATACACAGTAGCATGTATTAAAGCTGTGCAAAACCTTTTCCACATAACAGATAGCTGGCACAATTTTACTAGAAAAGCTGACACTTACGAATAATAAATAAAACAAACAGAAACCTGCATTAGAATGGGAGAACAACAAGCCTGTATGTGCAGAGGCAAGGGGCACGAAGGGTGCTAATGCATTCCCTCCCACGGTCCCGCAAGTAAGTGGGAGGGAGTCTGATGTCAGCCCCTCCTCTACACCAGCTAGAGAGGGAGTGGTCCAGTCCCTTGATGGTGCCCCTGGGGTGTGCTGCTGGGCCATGTGAGAGTGGCGCAACACATGGGCCGCCTTCTCACTACGTGCAGCTGAGACAAAGGGAGCCACAAGCTGCAGAGCATGGCTGCCGCCACTGGACCAGAGCTCTAGGCATAGGGGCTATCTCACTTTACCCTTTGGTAAGAGTCCTACTGCAAGCTTGGATGGAGGCCAGACAGAGAGTGGGGTTGGACCTGGGGCTGCCAAACTAGGTGGGGAGGCCACTGCCTTCCACCTCTTTGGAAAGCCTTATATTCTAGCTGTGCTGGTTTTTATTCAAAACAGATTTAAATATTGCCATCAGGAGAAAAGAGCAGAAGGAAAGAAAACGAAAGGCCATGGCCAAGTCTTGCATGAAGATAGATGCTTTTGTAAAGGCTAGGTAGGCTGTTGCTGAGACCGATAGGAATACAGATGAAACTCAAGAATCGGCTATAGTCTATCAGCAATCAGAGCATGTAGAATCAGGATTTGAAGTCAGTGAATGTCATGCAGATGAAGAAAGCCATCTACTATACAGAAGCGGGTAGTCTTTCTGTTGATGATATTGGTACTATTTTGAATGCCACAAAGATGAAAGAAGAGATCATCCAAGTTGTTGTTTCACTCTCACCTACTAAAAAAAATCACCTGCTTACTAAACACTACATTCTGCTGGGGGACCACCTTGATAGACTGGTCAGGACAAGGTGGTCAGCAAGACATACTGCATAGCAATACTTCTACCAAACACACCTGTTTATTATTACAGCCTTGGAATTAATTGCTCATGGAAATAATTGAGACCGATGCAGAGAAGCCTACCAGAATGTAGAATGGAACCCGAAAAGCAAGCGAGAGGCCAATAGTTAGCCTCAATGTCTTTTGTTTGACTTTATCA